AGAATTCCCTTCAATCTTGATCTCAAGATTGATGAACAAACCCACAATATGATAATGATGGTAATAACAACTAATTATTAAGAACAACAAAAGAGAAGAAGAATAACAAACAAGAAAGAGAAGAATGAGAGAAGAAGTATTTGGAGAGAATGTGTTACCCACAACTGTGGGATTTCTTATTGAACTTTCACTTGCTAACTGCAACTGTGAAATCTGTTCTGTTGTGATGTAGAATACAAAGCAAGACACCCTATTTATAGTTTTAGGTTTACACTAGCCCAAAACATAAAAGGCCCAAAATATTCTAAATCAAATCTAATCATATGATATCAAATCTAATCATATGATATCTAATCATATCATATCAAATTAATCATATGATATCAAATCTAATCATATGATATCAAATCTAATCATATCAAATCACAATGAATGGCATGCAAAACTAAATTCTTGTTCTTTTATTTTTTCTTCATCACTGTTGAGAATTTGTTGATGGTGTTGTAGTATGATTTAGGTTTATCTTAAACGGGAGCAATGATTTCAAAATCTAAAAAAGTGGCATTGTAAATTTGTTTTTTTTTTGCGCTACAATATGGATTAATATTATCTTGAATGAATGAAAAGCCATCTAAATAAAACAAAGCGTCGTCGCTTATTCTATTCATTATGCAACGACATGGATCAACTTTATCTTAATCGGAGCTAAGCAAGAAAAATTAAAAGCTTGATGGTACTTAGAATTGATAGTGTTTGCACCCTTAACATCTCTAAATTTGAGTTTGTTTTCTTTATTTTGTTTTAATAGAAAGATTGAGACATGTGTTAAGGTGAACAAATTATTAAAGTGATTGTTAAATGATCAATACTTATATATAAACAAAAATATATTGATTGGTTATGTTACTTCAATGGAACTCGGTTAACTTGGATATTTAAGGAGGTCGTTTTACGCGGAAGGTGTGAAAGAGGATTAAGAACTCGCTCTAGACTTATAATTTAGGAACATACTTCTCATGATTTATTTTCCTTTTCTAAACTAATTTATAAATTGATTTAAATGATAAGAAAAATATTATTAATTAGTAAATTCATCTATTTAGTACCCATTCTCATAAACTCTAAATGCGTGTTGCTTTTTGCAGTTCTTTAGACCATTTACAACGGGGTAGTTGAAAAAATTATTAAGTAGTTGAATGGTTGTAATGAGGTGTTGAATGGAGTGTAGAAAGTGAGGTGGATTATTTGGTGTTGAAAAGATTCAACCGTTGAATGAGGAGGGAATGGGGGCCGCGTAAAACACTTGGTGAAATCTTATTGCCTGCTGTGATTTTTTAGATTTTTATCTCATCTTAATTATTTGGGGTCAATTATTTCATAGGAAACCAATTTTTTAAAACCAAAAATCATCATTTTTTTGTCTATGAATAAAGACTTGGTTCATTTGATTTGGACACAGAAAAAACGACTTTTTTTCGTCTAATTTTTCTATTTAGCCTCCAATAAACTCTTGTTTGTAGCTTTGAACATCTTTTTTAGTGAAATGGATCCCAACAATAACCCTTTTAACACCCAAAATTCTACTAATTACCCTATCAACTACCCAAATCCCAACGACTATATAGATTTTAAAATCAACCAACAAGATCCCCAAAATATACCAAATTATGGATTTCCTCCAAATTTCATCATGCCGTCATCTAATCAAAATTATTGTCCATATTATGGATCAATGGTGTCATATTCATCTCAAGCACCCCCTTATTATTCTTCTAGTACACCGGAGTCATTCACGACCGGGGTGTTACCTATAAATGCGAATCATGTGTGTGCTCGATCTGTGATGCGATTCAAATGTACATCATGAATTGCAAACAAATTTAGTCAAATATATATGGGTAAAGTTCAAAATGTTTCGTGATTAAATAGATTGTTTGTGAGTTGAGTTTATTATACTAATTAAATTACATGTGTTTCATTTTAGGTGTGTTGTGTGCTTAGTGTATTATATTGTATTTTAAGTTTATTTTTTTTAATTTTATTTGTTTTAATAATGACTATCTTTATATCTGGTATTTATTACTTGCAAGAAAAAAATTAATTAAGAATATATAAAATTAGAAAAATAAAATTCAAATAAGTTATTAAATTAGAAAAACAATTAATTAACTCTTAATTAATTTAATTTAATTTAATTTTTATCGATAATTGTTATTAATATGTAATCAGAAAAACAAAAACATAAAAGAAAATGAGAATATGAAATAAAAATGGTGGGGAGGGTGTTGAATTTTATTAAACAAAACTATTGTAGTGAGTAAAATTTGAATGGGTGTTGAATTTTATTAAAAGTTTTACCCCATACCCCTACACTTATACTTATACCCCTACATTAAAAAATTTTGGACCAAAATATCCTCGTATAAAAATTTATTATTTTTTAATTTTTTTTATATTTTTTTATTTGTTTACCGGAAGACTTTTTGGAAGTCTTCCGGTTCACATTTTTTTAGTATGTTTACCGGAAGACTTTTTGGAAGTCTTCCGGTACATATTTTTTTCGTTTGTTTACCGGAAGACTTCCAAAAAGTCTTCCGGTTCATGTTTTTTTTTTATTTGTAATTAATATTTAAGATTTATTAATTTTATATAAAGACCAATTTAGTAAATTTTTGAATATTATACTTAAAATATAAAAATTCTATAAATAGAGAATCATTTTCAGAATATTTTCTATTTACTATAATTATTAGAATACTAGGATTAAAATCATTTATTTTAAATGATCATAATAGTAGAATTTTCTCAAATATCTTATTAATCTTAAACATTAATAAATAAATTAAATAGAAAATATAAGATATAAGTTTACATTATTCAATATATTTAATCAAATGAAAACATATATGATAAATAAATAATGTATTTTAACTTAAAATGATCACAATAAGTTAACTTGCAAAATAATATAAGTAATAAATTAATAATGTATTTTATTTAAAATAATAACAATAATAAAATACACAAATAATGTGTTTTATTTATAGGACTGATATAGTTTTATTGATTATTTAATTTTGAATACTACTATGAATATAGTATTTAATCTATACTTTAGAACTCACATAATTATAAATATAAAAAATATTGTTTTATTACCCATATTTTTATTTAATTAAAAAAAATAAGAATATAAATTTATTATTTGTTTTTCATTTTTGTTTGATCTTTTTAATTATTTCACTTTATTTAATATTTTTAATAAAATAAATAATATATTTTATTTAAAGTAAGCACAGTATAGAATATGCAAAAAATTTATAAATAAAAAAAAGATCAAACGAAAATATAGTAAATAGAAAATATTCTATTTATAGTAAATTGGTCCTAGTATTCTAATAATTATAGTAAATAGTAATTTGATCTTTTTTTTATTTATAAATTTTTTGCATATTCTATACTGTGCTTACTTTAAATAAAATATATTATTTATTTTATTAAAAATATTAAATAAAGTGAAATAATTAAAAAGATCAAACAAAAATAAAAAACAAATAATAAATTTATATTCTTATTTTTTTTAATTAAATAAAAATATGGGTAATAAAACAATATTTTTTATATTTATAATTATGTGAGTTCTAAAGTATAGATTAAATACTATATTCATAGTAGTATTCAAAATTAAATAATCAATAAAACTATATCAGTCCTATAAATAAAACGAAAATTACTATAATTACTATAATTATTAGAATACTAGGACCAATTTACTATAAATAGAATGTTTTCTATTTACTATATTTTCGTTTGATCTTTTTTTTATTTATAAATTTTTTGCATATTCTATACTGTGCTTACTTTAAATAAAATATATTATTTATTTTATTAAAAATATTAAATAAAGTGAAATAATTAAAAAGATCAAACAAAAATGAAAAACAAATAATAAATTTATATTCTTATTTTTTTTAATTAAATTAAAATATGGGTAATAAAACAATATTTTTTATATTTATAATTATGTGAGTTCTAAAGTATAGATTAAATACTATATTCATAGTAGTATTCAAAATTAAATAATCAATAAAACTATATAAGTCCTATAAATAAAACACATTATTTGCGTATTTTATTATTGTGATTATTTTAAATAAAATACATTATTAATTTATTACTTATATTATTTTGCAAGTTAACTTATTGTGATCATTTTAAGTTAAAATACATTATTTATTTATCACATATGTTTTCATTTGATTAAATATATTGAATAATGTAAACTTATATCTTATATTTAAATTTATTTTATTTATTAATATTTAAGATTAATAAGATATTTGAGAAAATTCTACTATTATGATCATTTAAAATAAATGATTTTAATCCTAGTATTCTAATAATTATAGTAAATAGAAAATATTCTGAAAATGATTCTCTATTTATAGAATTATTTATAGAATTTTTATATTTTAAGTATAATATTCAAAAATTTACTAAATTGGTCTTTATATAAAATTAATAAATCTTAAATATTAATTACAAATTAAAAAAAAAACATGAACCGGAAGACTTCCAAAAAATCTTCCGGTAAACAGACGAAAAAAATATGTACCGGAAGACTTCCAAAAAGTCTTCCGGTAAACCTACTAAAAAAATGTGAACAGGAAGACTTCCAAAAAGTCTTCCGGTAAACAAATAAAAAAATATAAAAAAAATTAAAAAATAATAAATTTTTATACGAGGATATTTTGGTCCAAAATTTTTTAATGTAGGGGTATAGGTATAAGTGTAGGGGTATTGGGTAAAACTTCCACAAAACTATTGTAGTGAGTAAAATTTGAATGGGTGTTGAATTATTAGGTGGAAGAGAGAGAAGATGATGCGGAGTGTAAAAAGTGAAAAAGGAGGGTGTTGTACATAGTCTTACCCATTTGGTGTTGTTTACTTGACATGAAACAACTCCGTCTCTTGAACCTCTATCAATCTGTTTACCTGACATGAAACAACTCCGTCTCTTGAACCTCTATCAATCTCTCCAGGTTTTTCTCTTTTCTCCTTCTTCTTTGTTTTTCATATACATTTTCTTTCTCGGGAATATATGTTTGATTTTTATTTAAAAACCTATTTTAAAATAAATTCAAACTGTTGTGTTGTGACATACACACACTCGTTGGAATGTTAATCGCATTTCAAAGCTATAACTGAGTAGTAATAATGTTGTAGTTTTGCAGTATTCAGAAGCATTTCACTTCCAAGAGCTTGCTTTGTTCTCTAACTGTGAAACCAATGGGGTCTAAAAGACTGAAAACACCCTTTTCAAATTCATCACATCCCATTTCATCATTTCTTCAGTCTAACAAGGATATGAACCACAAAGTGTTGGAATCAAGCCCAATCTCCATTTCTAACCATCATATTCTTAAGGTCTGATTAATATTTCATTGATACCCGTGTCTGTGCTTCATAAATTGTAATCCTCATTTCTGTCTCTATTTCTTTTTGATTATTGACTAGGAAAATGATGTTCATAGCTATTCCATTGAGATTGAAAGATTAAGAAATCACCCGGCTATTGCAGACACCATGACTGTTCCCCAACTCCGAAAGACATTAAAGTAAGTTGCCCTTAAAATGTAGCTCCTGTTTTACTTTTAGTTTCAAGCAAAATTTTCAAGTTATTCATATATTGGGAATGCTTTTCAATTCTCAGGAGTATAGGTGTTCCTGCTAAAGGTCGTAAAGAGGATCTTTTGTCTGCCTTGAAGACTTTCATGGACGATAATATGTGTGGTATAGCATTTGCTGAGTTTTACTGTTTCTTGACGAGGGGAGGAAATGGATTTTAGTTTTGTTTTTACATTGTTCAACTTTAGTTATTGTCTGCAAAGTCCTTAAACTCCTCGTTGCTCTTTAAAAAACTAGTTCAAGCTGTCTTTTTGTATTCTGCAGAACAAGATTCTCAAATTACAGACAAACAAGAGCTGTTTGTTTCTTCTGAAAATACATCTTTAGAAATGAAAGCTAAAATGCTATCGGATGAAGAGCCCGTGGATGATGTTAATGATACTCCAGAGACAGTTGAACTTAACCAGGGTAAGAGAAGGTTAAAACAATCAGAACCCGAAAGCAAAATTGTCAAAGCAACAACCAAAAAGAAGTTGTTGGTTAAATCAGTCGAGGTTTCAGGTTGTGTTCTAAACTCTAGATTATGTAGAGTTATAAACTTCCTATTCTGAAATGTTTAGCATAATTCTTGGTCTCTCTATGTTTCTCTATTTGTCTCATGGCTTGTTTATATTTGTTCAAGTGTTATTCATGAAGTGATTAAATTAATCATCTATGGGTGTTTATGTCAGATTTTAAGTCTTCCAGGGCAAAGAGAAAAGTATCTTCAGATGTTGTTAGTGTTGTAGCACAGTCAGATGAGATCAGTACAGCAACCACTATTCAAACTGAAACATGGACTGTTCTTGCTCACAAGAAACCTCAAAAGGATTGGATTGCATATAATCCTAGAACTATGAGACCCCCACCTCTTTCTCGGGATACAAAATTTGTCAAGCTTTTGTCTTGGAATGTAAATGGATTGAGAGCATTGCTAAAATTAGAGGGATTCTCGGCACTTCAACTTGCCCAAAGGGAAGACTTTGATGTATTGTGCTTGCAAGAGACTAAACTGCAGGTAGAAAGAATATTGGTGTTAATGCCTATTTCATAAGTACATCTTGTGTTATGCTGTAGTTGAATTATGAACATTCTGATGGTTGCTGAAAAACTAAACTAAGAACTAACTGATTTAAGAACTTTCTCTTATTAATCTAGTTAATTTTAGTTTTGGTGTTTAGAAATATACTTTCCTCAAGTGAATGACAATAAGACATATCATCAGTAAGAAGAAAGAAGGGCGGTGAAAACGCTGAATTTAGTTATCTTATTTTTCTAAACATGAAGCTATTTCACTTTTATTGCTGAATATCTTAGTATTCTAGTTATTTTGGTTTTTGAAGAAGTTAATTTAAGGTTAATAGTTTAGAAGTTCTTTTATCATAATAAAGGTAGAACATTATGCTATTATTGTAAAAGAGTGGAATGCAACATACAGGCATTCAACATATTGTGTGGTACACGGTACATGTTTTTTTTAACTCAATCTTTTCTGCCAATGGCTTCTGCACCTTCTACTAGTTTGGTCTCTATAGAATTTGGTGAAGGTTTCTTGTAGATAACGTGCAAGTTGCAGATTTATTACTGAAGGACCTCTAAGTTTGAGGTGATTGTGTTAGGAACCCAAAATTAGAAGAGAAAGTGAAATTATATTATTGACTGAAAAAGGAAAGTATTGTAGAAGATAAATCCCTGTAATCCCAGAGCAAAAGCTCCTCAAAGGCAGATGAAATCCTCTCTTTGCCCAACCTTCTAAAGTTCTAATACAAATGATTTTCAATAATCCACTATTTCCCTCTCACAAACTTCATATATTTCCTTCACATGTGACTTCTGTTGGAAATAAGACCTTTTGTGTTTAAGAAAAATGTGTGGGAATATTAGAGGCTTAAAGAAAAACTTGATAGGTGGAAGAATTATTTATGGAAGAGAGAACTTTGTATTTTGCTTGATACAAAAGTGTAGAATTACATCTCTATTTATAGTACTCTAAAGAGAACTCTAGACATACTAATTTTAGAGAGTTCTCAACTCTAGGAATTCCAAGAGCATTCTAGAGAATATTACAACCTTAAGAAATATCTAGACACTCCAAACATTACAAGAGTTTTCTAGAAACATTAATTAAAATTACCTAAGTCCAAAATAACTAAGCCCCAAAATCCAAATAATATGTTTAGGCCCAAATCAAGTTTAATCTTTCAACATCCCCCTTAAACTTGATTTGTGACTCCAAGCATACTCCTTAACTTTATGAACGTTTCCAACTTGAGTGGCTTGGTGAAAATGTCGGCAGCTTGATCTCGAGACATCACATACTTCAACCTCACATCCTTCTTCTCGATGCATTCTCTTATAAAGTGGTAACGGGTGTCGATGTGTTTACTTCTTTCATGAAATACAGGATTCTTTGCCAAAGCAAGTGCTGATTTATTGTCAACACATATTTCCATAGGATCTTCTTGTGGCATTTTTAACTCTTTCAACAAGTTCCTTAGCCAAACTGCATGGCAAACACATGATGTAGCGGCAACATATTCAGCTTCACAAGTTGACAGTGTGACGATAGGTCGTTTCTTTGACATCTAAGTGAAAGCAGTATCTCCCATAAAGAATACAAAACCAGTAGTGCTTTTTCTATCGTCCACGTCTCCACTCCAATCGCTATCACTATAGCCAACAATTTCATGATTGTTAGAAGAGTAATAGTGTAAGCCAAAGTTTGTTGTACCTTTGATATATCGAAGGATTCTCTTTGCCGCCTTGAAGTGAGTTGTTGTTGGAGCTTCCATGTAACGATTTACGACTCCTACAACATAGAGAATATCCGGCCTTGTACTTGTCAAGTAACGTAGACTTCCAACCAAACTTTTGTAAAGAGTTGGATCCACAATCTCTCCATTTTCATGCTTACTCAACTTGCTGCCACATTCCATCGGGGTGCCAACCGGATTAGCATCATCCATCTTGAACTTCTTAAGGACTTCTTTTGCATAATCTTCTTGGGTGATAAAAATTCCTTTGTCTTCTTGCTTTATTTCAATGCCAAGATAATATGCCATGAGCCCCATATCTGTCATCTCAAATTCATTTGACATGTCTTTCTTGAACTCTTCAAACATGCTTAGATTGTTTCTAGTGAAGATCAAGTCATCAACATATAAGCACACAATCACAATATTTCCACCTTGCGCTTTAATATAGAGTGCATGCTCATATGGACACTTGATGAAATTCTTGTCTCGAAAGTACTTGTCGATTCGAACATTCCAAGCTCTCGGAGCTTGCTTGAGTCCGTACAACGCCTTTTTCAACTTGAGGACTTTTTCTTCTTGCCCTTTTACTTCATATCCCTGTGGTTGCTCGATATAAACTTCTTCTTCGAGAAAACCATTCAAGAAGGCCGACTTCACATCCATTTGATAGATCTTCCATTCATTCTGGGTTGCCAAAGAAATGATCAGTCTAATAGTTTCAAGACGAGCAACGGGGGCAAATACCTCATCATAGTCAATTCCTTGTCTTTGACTATAGCCTTTTGCCACCAGTCTTGCTTTGTATCTGTCCACGTCTCCTTTTGCATTCTTCTTCGCCTTGTACACCCATCTTACTCCGATTGCTTTGTGTTCTCGTGGAAGTGTAGTAAGTTCCCACGTATCATTCTTCGTGATTGACTTTATTTCTTCATCCATGGCGTCTCTCCACTTTACATTTTCAACAGCTTCTTGATAGCTTAGAGGCTCGCAATCACCAAAAAGACAAAAGAGGTTAATGTCATTTTGGTTTTCGGTTACCTCATAAAGCTCTTCAATGCTCCTTAATCGTGGTGTCCTCTCACTTGAGCTTGTTTCATCCAACCTTGGTGTCGGTGAGGCAGGTGGTATAATATGTTCATCTATCATTGGTTGTTCCATTTCATCTTCTTCTTCTTCAAAATAAGAAAGAAAATCATACCTGTCTTCTTGAACACTCCAACCCCAACAATCTTCTTCTTCGAACTCCACGTCACGACTTATGACAATCTTTCCGCTATTTGGATTATAGAGCTTGTACCCTTTGGAGCTTGAGTCGTAACCTACGAATACATACTTCTCACTTTTATCATCGAGCTTTGTTCTCCTTTCATCTGGAACGTGGGTATATGCAATGCTTCCAAACACCTTGAGGTGAGAGATCCCTGGCTTCCTTCCACTCCATGCTTCTTGTGGTGTCTTCTCATGCACACTTCTTGTTGGGGAACGGTTTGTCAGGTAAACCGCACATGCTACTGCATCGGCCCAAAACTCTTTCGGCATCTTCTTACTCTTAAGCATGCTTCGCACCATATTAAGTATGGTCCGGTTCTTTCTCTCCACTACTCCATTTTGTTGTGGCGATCTTGGCACTGTTAGTAAGCGGCGGATTCCATGCTCTTCACAATATTTGTTGAACTCATTTGAAGTAAACTCTCCTCCTCGGTCAGATCTCATAGCCTTAATAGAAAGACCACTTTCTTTCTCCACAAGGGCTTTGAACTTCTTAAAGTTTTCAAACACTTCTGACTTCTCCTTCAAGAAATAAACCCATGTTTTTCTAGAATAATCATCAATAAATAGGAGAAAGTATTTATTCTTACCAAAAGAGTTTGGATTGATTGGTCCACAGACATCAGTGTGTATGAGCTCTAGTGGTTTTGTCGCTCTTGATGTTGATTCCTTTGAAAAGCTTTTTCGAAATTGCTTCCCAATTAGACATCCTTCACATAGTTGGTCTGGGTGGTTTATACTAGGCAAGCCTCTCACCATCTCCTTCTTTGACAAACATTTTAGACTACCGAAGTTGAGGTGTCCAAATCGTAGATGCCATAGCCACGAAGAGTCGGTATAGCAGGCCTTGAGACACTTTGCCACATCATTTTGAATGTTCAAGAGGAACATTCTATTCTTTGACATAGGCACCTTAGCGATCAATTTATGCCCACAATCTCTTAAGAAAAGACTATGTTCTTTCAAGTGGATGTCATATTCTTTCTCCAATAATTGTCCCAAGCTCAAAATATTATTTTTCATGTTAGGAACATAGTAGACGTTGGATATGAATTGATGACTCCCATTTTTTAAGCGTATGAGAATTTTACCTTTGCCTTTGACCGGTATCTTTGAGTCATCTCCAAATGAGACATTTCCAGTTGTCGCTTCATTGATCTCTATGAACATGCTTCGATCGCCGCACATGTGGTTGCTTGCGCCGGTGTCGAGGTACCACTTGTTTCTTTTTTCTTCAAATTGGTTTTGGCACGCGAGTAGCAAAGTTTCTTCTTCTCCACCTTTTTCTTCTACAAAGTTAGCTTTCTCCATAACCTTCTTTGAGAATCTACACTCAGATGCATAGTGACCGATTTTGTTGCAATTGAAGCACTTGATTGGTAACTTGTTGCACCTTGACCATGAATTTCCATTTCCACGACCTCTTGTTGCTTGTGGATTCCAACTTCTTTCTCCATTGTTGAAGTTGTTGGAGTAGTTGTTGTAACTTCCTCTTCTTTCTCCTTCATGTCCACGTCCACGTCCACGGTCTTGGCCACGACCTCGTCCTCTTTGACTCTTGTAACTCACATAGTTTGCTTCCTTTGCATTGAGTTGTAGTAGTTGTTCCATAGTCTCCTTTTGTTTATTTTTTCTCTTTTGTTTTTCTTCGTATGCTTGTAAGGAACCCATAAGTTGCTCAATAGTCATGGTGTTTAAATCCTTGTTTTCTTCAATGTTAGTAACAATGAAGTCAAAACTTGGATTTAAAGTGCGAAGTATTTTTTCCATGACTTTCACCTCATCAACATCTTCACCATTTCTTTTAAGTTGATTGACTACGGACAATACTCGAGAAAAATAATCAGAAATTGACTCAGACTCTTCCATAAATAAACGTTTAAACTCACCTCTAAGAGTTTGAAGACGAATCTTTTTCACCTGCTCCACTCCTTTGTTGCAAGTTTGAAGCTTGTCCCATGCTTCTTTGGCCGTCGTTGCATTGGAGATCTTCTCAAATGTATCTTCATCCACCGATTGATAAATGAGGAAGAGAGCTTTCTTGTCTCTCTTTCTTGACTCCTTTAATGTCTCCTTCACACCTTGGCTTAAGGAGGCTTCATCTTGCTCCTTAAAGCCTTTCTCAACAATATCCCACACATCTTGAGCTCCTAGTAGTGCCTTCATCTTGATACTCCAATTGTCATAGTTGTTCTTTGTGAGTATCGGTATTTGAAAAGGGAAACCTCCATTCGCCATCTTTTGAGGACCTTCAAGCTCTAATGCCAATTTGTTGGAAATAAGACCTTTTGTGTTTAAGAAAAATGTGTGGGAATATTAGAGGCTTAAAGAAAAACTTGATAGATGGAAGAATTATTTATGGAAGAGAGAACTTTGTATTTTGCTTGATACAAAAGTGTAGAATTACATCTCTATTTATAGTACTCTAAGGAGAACTCTAGACATACTAATTTTAGAGAGTTCTCAACTCTAGGAATTCCAAGAGCATTCTAGAGAATATTACAACCTTAAGAAATATCTAGACACTCCAAACATTACAAGAGTTTTCTAGAAACATTAATTAAAATTACCTAATTCCAAAATAACTAAGCCCAAAAATCCAAATAATATGTTTAGGCCCAAATCAAGTTTAATCTTTCAACAACTTCCCCACTCTCTTTAACCAACTCACGTGTAACTTCCCCACTATTTCTAACCAACTCAACTTCCCCACTATCTCTTTAACCAACTCACGTGTAACTTCCCCACTATCTCTAACCAACTCAACTTCCCCACTCTCTCTCACCAACTTGCCAACTCAACACTTCCCCTCTCCATTTGGGCCTCTTTCTCTCAATGGTAGATTGTAAGAATGAGTCGTTGGAATATTAATCACTTGCATAACGACTTATGTTTTTAGGTGGTTCTTGGTCATGGAAATTCTCTCATATTTGTATGCTACAGCAAAACCTTAAGGGTTTGTTTGGGAGTTGGGTTTTGGAGGGGAGACCTAAAACTTTTTGAAAGAATACCATAATAAATGATCATATAATACTTCAATCACACTTAATTTATTTTTAAAAACATATTAGTGTCCTTAATTTTTTTCCCCAAGAAATCCTTCTCTCTTTTCCTCCAAAGGTTTATTAATAGAAGGTAAAACTGAGCAATGTAATATGAAAAGTTTCTTTACCATGATAGAGAAAAAACGTTGATTTGCAAATTGTGAAATATGTAAATTGGGAGAAGCTACTTCTGACAGTCTTGCTGCCTGATAAAATCTATCAACCATGACGTTTATGTTTGTGTGAAAATTCTTTAGAGGCATTTTATCTCCAATTTATGAGTGCTTTGTTTTTGCTATCAGGAGAAGGATATCGAGGAAATAAAACAGCGACTGCTAGATGGCTATGAGAACAGCTTTTGGACATGTAGTGTTTCTAAGCTTGGTTATTCTGGAACAGCAATAATCTCAAGGGTGTGTTCACTATGTTCATACTCCTTTATACGTAATTGAAACTTTTACTACATAGTGTTGAATTATTTTTTTCTATATTTAGAAGAAAAGGCTATCTGTAGTATAGTGAGTAGTGGCTATTTCTTGCGCAAGTGACTCCTGACGGATTTTACTCAGGAGCTTGATGGTGTATTGGTGCATGATTATTATAATGTCATTTGTTGTTCACATTTTTTTTCTAAGTGAAAATTATTTATGATAATATAAAATCATTTTGTAACTACTTGAGTTGAAGCTTTTGTCACCGCCTACTTTAGTCGGATTTCTTCAACAAAGCTTAACCCTAATTACATCTGTTCTTATATCATGTTTGTTGGTACTCTGCTCTGCTGCTTAACCATTTAACTTCGAGGAACAAGTTTGATGCCTGAAGGCGACACGATTTCCATTCTATCAAGACAGCCCAACCATTTGCATCTTCATTCATAAAATGCAAGGATTATGTTCAGTTTATAATTATTTTTCTAATATTATTTTCTTTTAATTGAAATTCTGGCAGGTAAAGCCTCTTTCAGTTAGATATGGCCTAGGTATATTGGATCATGATAGTGAGGGTAGACTTGTGACCGTAGAGTTTGATACATTTTATCTGATAACCGGATATGTGCCTAATTCTGGAGATGGCTTGAAAAGACTGGTACTTATTCAATTACTTTACTTTTATATTTCCAACTCTTTGTGTTCCTCCTATATTTTAATCTAACAAATGTATCCTCATCCAACTCATCTTTCTGTATTTGAATCTAGTCTTACAGAGTGACTGAATGGGATCCAGCTCTCAGCAATTATTTGAAAGTATGTATTACTCCTTTTTCCCTCATCGAATGCACTACAACTTAACTATTTTTGTTATATTTCTATATATCACTCTTTTAATACTATTACATTTCCTTGTCTTGTCAGAATACATATCCATTTTTTGTTAACCTTTTTGCTTTGTCATTTATAAGAAATGTGGTTTATGATATAGCTATTGAAGTTGTATTGGAGTTGTATTGGAGTTTCACACTGTCAAGGTTCCCGGGTTGTATGTATATTTGTGTTTGGATTGGACACCCTGATCTTATGAGTTAGCTTCTGGGAGTGAGATTCAAACTCATAACGATAGCCAAGATAGAGATGATTTATTTTAGCCATGTTTGCATGTGCTAGTGAAACCCTGTAGAGTTAGAAAAAATTACGGGTGGTTAAATATTTTTAAGCTCATCTAGAATATCCTCCTATGATGTTTCGTCCTTATAAAAGTTTTCATCCCTTTTTTTTAGGTCTCCGATTGGTTATTTTGGTGAAAAATTGAGCAAACTGTCAAATTAGTCCCTGACTCTGAATGACGCTCTCAAGTTGGTCCCTGAGTTTGTACATATTTCAAAATGGTCCCTGACTCTGTCCAATGTTGTTTTTATTAATCCTTAAATGTCAAATTTAGCGATTAAATTGGTCGTAAATGACTAAATACAAAGACCAAATTGATATATAACATATGGACTTAATTGTTATTAAGTGGCTAAATACAACAGAGACCAACTTCACACTCTAATAGAGTCAGGGACCTTTATAAAATATTTATACACAGTTTGAGAGTGTTCTACATAGTCAAGGACTGGTTTGACAGTTTACTTGTGAAAAATTGAATCTATATTTGGTCTTTAAAATCACCAACGGAGGACTCAATTTTTTGTCGGAAGTCGAAACTAAACTTAATAAGAGGGTATTTTATAAAGACTAAAATCATATTAGTTTTTTAAAATCTTTTTATATCAACTATTAAACTAATAGTGAAGTTATTAATGTTGGAATTTGAAACATGATTACTTCTCACTCCAATTTTAAGTGAGGTGTGTTTAGTTTTACTTGATGCTAAAATTACGTTTGGAATGCATCAATTTATTCCAACAAAAGTTGAGATGCAGATTTATTCCTTATGTTTTACATCCTTTTTCCATATTATATTATTTATTTTGGATAAACGATTTTCTATTTTATTATTTATGTTGGATAAATGATTTTCTAAAAGATTCACGATTCATTTTCTGGTGGGTACAGGAGCTGGAAAAGTCAAAACCTGTAGTTTTGACTGGTGATCTGAATTGTGCTCATGAAGAGATAGACATATACAACCCTGCTGTAAGTGATTGCAAATTATCACTCCGATTAATATAAATTATAATTACAAATATGCATAAAAGCACTGCTTTTAGTAAATTTTTGAACTAGTGTATATAGTAATAGTACCATTAGGTGTCTAACTCGTAACGTGGGTTCCTAAGAAACTGCGGGTTCCTAAGAAACTGCTTTACCCCGCAGTATCTTGCGGATACCAGATGCTTGATGAGGACACCTAGCTTGTTAGGGGAGTACGTAATAGCTGAATTCCTGCTATTGTTATGAGAATTACAACTCAGAAGTAGGCTAGCAACCTACTAAGTCACACGGTCATAACATTTTTGGCAAATTCAAAGATAAGATGAAATTTAAATTTATGAATAATCAAAAGTTAGAATAAGTTGCCAAGAGCATAGTATTTTAAACTATTCTGATAGTTACATGTATCCACAGGGAAACAAAAGAAGTGCTGGGTTCACAGATGAAGAGAGGAAATCATTTGAAACAAACTTGTTGTCAAAGGGATTTGTAGATACCTTTAGAAGGCAGCATCCTGGTGTCGTTGGATATACTTATTGGGGCTATCGGCATGGTGCCCGTAAGTTTAACAGAGGTATTTATAGCATACTGTTTCATTTCATAGTAGATTCTATTCGATAAAAAATAACAGAAAACAGATAGCTGTTATCAGATAGAAGATAAGTTAGGAGATTGAATTTGTAGTATTTCTTTAAATTGGCGGTTGAAATAGCTCATAAATTTGAAATGACATAAAGAAATCTTTTTAATTATACTATTTATTAATTTTTCAATTAAAATATCAAGGATCCGATCCCACTCTGTTGAATAAGGTTTAGTTGTTGGTTGTGGTCCTTGTAAGATAACAAGGATAAAATTGAGATAAAAAATGCTATAAGCTAGTTAAAGAAAAGCTATAAGCTTTAGAAAAAATGTTACCAAACCGGTCTATTTTGGCCATAGGAACTTGTAATTATAAGTTCAAAAATTGGTCTGCATACAATATTGGATATGTGCAATGTAAAGACAAGTTTCAACTGCTTCATTTATTAAATCTTCATTTTCACAATTGAATGTTTACACGTATGAAGTCAAGCACATATGGTAGCTATCCACTAGTTTTGACCCTTACCCTTACTTAGCTAAAATAAAATGTCTAATTGTAATTTGCAAATAATAATTATCTTAATTATTACCAATCATCTGATGAACGTTGAATTCCTCTCTTTGTTCTCTCGGTGATTTGTTTCAAAACTTTAAACAGGATGGCGTCTTGATTATTTCCTCATCTCAGAATCCATAGCAGACAAAGTTCACGACTCCTACATTCTCCCTGATGTCATTGGCAGCGATCATTGTCCAATCGGCCTCGTTCTGAAGCTTTGAATCTGCAATTGAAGCACTAATCACTCTGAGCTTGCAGAGAATGTTGCTTTTTTTTTGCCTGTTTGCTTCATGGAAACGTTGCTTTTTTTTTTTTTTTTTTTTTTTCTTTTTTTTAATAAATTTTTTTCCTGTTTTGCTATCCCTATGATCATTTTCCTGGAAAATTTATTGTATACGACAACTTTTTTTTTGGTCAAGATGACAAAACATGTTTTAGTATGATGTGTTTTTGAAGAATAATACACGGTATATAAAAAAATATTTAAGATAATAAATGAAACAAAAATTTTCATCCAACATAGTTTTTAATTTAATTTTAAAAAGTATAAATATAACTTTCATAAATAAACTAGTAAGCTACCCGTGTGGCACGGATAAAATTATTTGATATGATATAAAAGATATTCAAATTTATATATAAATTTAGTACAATATAAAATGTATTTATATACATATTTAAATTTGAAATTAGCAATAATTATATAAATTCAATTGTATTAAAATACAAAGAAAAAAAGGAACTCGTGAGATAAAAACAGAATATTTAATATTTAAAAATAAGAATTTTATCTTTTAAATTAAGATAATTATTGATTAATATAAAACATGTATTGTGCTAATAGTGACCCGTGAAATAGAAAATTTATTTGATACAGTGTAAATGTATTTATATAAATATGTAAATTTGAAATTAGTTACTTAATTTTAAAATGAAAAATATTTATATAAACTAAATTGTATCAAATAATTATGCAAAAAGGAAAAAATTTGAAATAAAGATTTTGTCTTTCAAATCAAGACAAATTGTTGATAAAAATAAAATAGAAATTGTACTGATAATAACCCGTGAAATAAAAAAAAATTAATATGATATAAAATATATTTAGATACAAATGCAAAATTTGAAATGATTTACTTAATTGTAAAATAAACAATAATTATATAAATTTAATTGTATCAAAAGAAAATAAAAATAAAAATAATTGTTGATTAAAATAAAATAGATGTGTTGAAAGTGACCCGTGAGATAAATAAAATTTTAATTTTATTAAAATTAAAAGATTGATTAATAGTATTTTTAGTGATAATAAATAGATAGAAAAAAATTAAAATGAAAGTGAAAAAGTGTGGGAAAAAGGAATGTGAGAAAAATTTAAAATTTAAATGAAAAGAGAAAATGTTGTAGTAGTAGATGAGAATGAAAAAAAAGTAAATATTAGTTTATTACTAAAATGTTCTTTTGGTAGTGTAAATAATTTGTGATGAAAGGGTAATTTAGAGAGTTCATACAATTTGAATTTGTATACATAGATAGTAGATAATATTATAAATATCTTACATGATCAAATTTACTAGACTTTTACTATGTTGGTCCAACTAGCAAGATACTTGGGCCGTGCATCTACGGATGTTAAAAATAGGAGAAATTAACTTGCCATTCCCATACTTAAATCTCACCTCAAATGTATGAATAGACAAAGTAATCATGAAGAAAATTTTCTTCAAAATTTTAAATTTACGGTGTTGAAGTGAAATTTTCTTTTACGGCGAATATCAGAAATTTCACAATTTTCGGTATTTTTATTGAAAATTTTAAAACTTTTGGTATTTTTTACTTGAAATTTCATTATTTCATGTAATATTTATCGGAAAATTTAAAATTTCCCATACAGAACCTAATATTTTTTGCTATAAATTTCAAAATTTTCGATAGTTCAAAAAATTTAGTCTTGTATCGGAAATTTCAAATTTTCCAGTGATTTTAAAAATTCAGTTTTGTAATAGTTATAATAATTGAGTTTTATACCGAAAATTTCAAAATTTTTGGTAGCTGTCATTGTTATTTTTTTTAATATTTTTTTTCTTTTGTAGTGAAATCCAGAGGCAGAGACGATACTATTGCAGAGAGAGTTGCAGATCGAGCATTAGACCAGGGTAGGGGCGCTGATGCTGAGTCTTCCCAGCTATAGGCAGGACGAGTGTTCTTCATTGGTTCACACCGAAAGCGGATGGCTGAGGAGAGTCATTTTCGGAAACCTCATTCCACTCGAGGCCGTGAAGTTCGATCAATAGAGTAGGTTTCAGATGAGGTGCTGTTACACATTCCAGTAGTTGATCATGTCGGTGAGTTGGTCGTTGAGTCGGTGGTTGATCCAGTTGTTGAGGAGGTTGCTCAAGAGGCTACTGAGGAGCTGTTGTTGATGTGTCAGACCCATCAGTTACTGTTGAGATGGAGGTTACGAATTCTTCGACTGATCCCTCAGTGCACACTGATGGAGGATTCTCAAGAGGACCCATCGACCGGTCTGTGCTTATAGAGTATGCTGAGCATGTGGCCTTACAATTATGGTAGGGCGAGGTATATGTCTTTTATGTTTAGTTTTAATTTTTGTTTATGTATGTCTGTCATAATTAAGTATCAACTAATTTGTTTATATTTTGTTGTCACAGAAGCGACCCACACTGAAGATCACATCTCACAGGTCAAATATGAAAGGCTTCCCGAAGATTCTGATGCCTGAGTAGGTTAGCCGGATTATACGGGACTTCGAGTTGCTTGATTTCTCCCACAACTTACTATAATGGACACTAAATTGCCTAGTGCCTTTGTTGAAAGGTGGCACATGAGATATCATCATTTCATCTTCCGTTCGGGGAGATGACTATCACTCTGGATGATGTCTCTGCATTGTTCCATCTTTCTATCGACGACAGATTCTGGACGACTCTGATTCTTAGCGTGACCACCGCTTGTCAAGTTGTGTCACATGAATTGAGTTTGTCTATGGTGGAGGTGCTAGAGGAGTTTGGTGAGACTAGGGGTGCACACCTTCGCATGCATTAGCTTTGGAAAATATACAATTGGTTTATACCTGATGGGAGGTATGAGGTTGCCTCTAGGGCGTACATGCTACATATGGTAGCATGTACGCTCTTTGCAGACAAGTCTGGTACTTATTGAAGGTAAGAAAAAACACTTAGAGGGGGGGGGGGGTTTGAATAAGGGTTTTTAAAACAATTTGGATGATAGAAAAATAACACAGTATTTTTATCCTGGTTCGTTTGAACTCAAACTAATCCAGTCCACCCTACCAAGGTGATTTGCCTTTCTCAACAAGGACTTAATCCACTATATCAAACTTGATTACAGTGTAAACCACTAAGACAACTGTCTTAGTCTTCTCAAGAAATTCTGACCACAACTTGGTCTTCTTAAGGAAATCTTTTACAAAGATAAACAAACAATTTGTGTTTAAGAAATGCTTCTAAAAAGCTATATCACAACAGTGATTTTTACACAAGTTATAGAACGAAAGTAAAAGATATTCTAGCTTAAAGAATATTTGTGAGAGCTAGTTGAATATTATGTCAAGAATTCCGTCAAATTCGTTAACCTTTGAAGTGATGCTAAGACTTGCTTTTATAGTCCTTTGAAATCATTTCTCAAAGACTGTGCAATCTGTGCATTCTGTTCTCTTTGTCTTATAATGACTTTTCCTTTCTCAGAAGAGGAATGTTCTGACACATCCTTTTTGTCTGAATTCTTGTGTCAAGCACGAATGGGGAAAAATCCGTTTAGGATAAGACAAGGAATATACTAACGTATCTTTATTTGAACATCATCTTCTTCAACAACTTTGGAACGCCTTGCATTAGAACTTCTGATGATGTCCTTAGTTGTAGGTCAAAGTTAACTCAATCAGAGTTTCTCTATCAGAGTTTGCAACAAAGTGCTTTAAGCGTGAAATCCTTATCAGAGCATACTTGCTTATCAGAACTTCTGTACTTACAACGTTGAGTACTTTCAAAATCTTCTGAAGCTTTACGTATGTCCTTTGCTCAAGTTCTTCTTAGCTTTGCTCAGAGTCATTCTAGCAGATCAGAGTCTTCTGATGTGTTGTTTCTGACGCTCAGAGCTTTTTCATTCTTTGGTGTTCAGAGGCGTTCTTGCTTCCAGAATAATATTAATTTTGATATCTGAAACAAATAAACACTTGAACAGAATTAGTGTATATAAATTCTCTATACAAAATTTCATTAATGTTATCATCAAAACAATGAGATATATCGAACAACAATCTGTGTTCTAACAATCTCCCCCTTTTTGATGATGACAAAAACTATGGGAAATTTTGTTAACATAGAAAAGAAATATTACTCCCCCTGAGAATATTAATCTCCCCCTGAAATGAATACTTCTGAAAAGATAAAATACTTCCCTTTCAGCTTCTGTATTGTTTTCAACTTCAGAAGAAACTTGCAGATTCTCAGACTTTTAGTTCAGAGTTAATTCTTAGAATTTATCAGAAGAGAATTATTTGCTCTGAAATACTAAAGAAATATGATTAGTTGAAAGTTATCATGTATGAGTTGCCTTTGGTAACTGTTTATGTGTATTATCAAAATTATCATTTTCTCCCCCTTTTTGTCATATCAAAAAGAAAATCATTTAAGAAAAACTTTAAGACAGAAAAAGATAACAGAAGAAAAACAATAAAGCAACAAATAAATTCAAACAGAAGAACATAACATTCATTCATAAAGAAAAGCATAACATTCATTCATTGATAAACAATATCCAAGACAAACAAACAGTCAGATAAAAAACAAGTGCACAAACAAACATAGAAAAACTAAGAAGGACAAGAAGCTAGAATCCTCAGAAGATTCGTTATCTCAGATGTGGATTCTTCCTGTCTTGCCATCCATGTCTTGATCTCATCAGTTGTCTTCTCTTGTTTAACCATGCAAGACTTCATCTCTGTGTTGCTAGCCTTGAGTTCAACAATCTGAGCCTGCAGATCTTCGTCTTCTTTCTTCACTTCAGATGATTCTGGAGCAGATGCAGAAGCAGAAGCATCATGAACAATCAAGGAAGCAGAAGCATTCTGAATGATCATGTCAGCAGGTTGAGCAGAGTCAGGATTCTCAGAAGCAAGAGCAGAAACTTCTAGAGCTACTACTTCAGAGCTAACCACTGCAGCAGTCTCAGAAGCAAC